TGAGCGAATCACAAGCATTTGTCGCGCAAAACGGCACGGGATGAACCAGCCGGACAACATTGAACCTTATTCAGTGTGATCGACCCACCTGGTCGGTAGTGTTAGACAAAGTGGACGAGACTCGCCATTCGATGACATGGACGATAGAGTGAACGGTTACCATCATAGTCGCGTGGCAATCTGCCCGTATGGTCCACTGATTGGTTCTTATCACGTGAAACAGACCACTGGTTTGGGATTCAAATGTCTTGTTTCTGAATACTGTACACACAAGGGAGGGTGGCGAGACCAAAAGTTAAGACAGGACTGTACGACCACACCGGTGGGTTTGTATTATCTCAGTGCATCTGAACAGTACTCAAGCACCGGTGCTCAATTGAGAATGTTTACCAGACGGCTGTCCCAAGCAGAAAAGAAAACAATGACCCTTGCGTTGACTAGCCCAGTCGACGACGCGTGCACTTTGAAGACAAAAGCAGACCGGCTACCTGTTGGTGTATCCTGCCGAGAACAACCAGTATACGTTCACACCTGCGTTGAACAAAGCCGAGACTCTGAGCGTACATGTTTGACCTCAATTGAATCGCCCGAGTAGCGGGGTTAGAAGTGACAATGTGGATTAGCTGTATACTAGGCGCTCTTATGTTTAAGGTAGACCGGCTAATTGTTACGTACAAACATCAGCTATTAGAATGATGCTGGAGACCATTGGGTAGATTGTTTGATTAAGCCTGTCTGCCTCGTCTTGGGAGGAAACTACTGTTCGTAAACAAAAGATTCAAACGTGAGTGTAAGAAAGGCATCCGTATGATCATGGGCCTTCAAACAGTCAGCGTATAAGATAGTGTGACGTGCGTGCACTAATACATGTTTACTATTTAATCATCGATTTCGGGATTAAAACGTTTGGAAAAAAACCTTGAATATTTGGATAGCAATCGAGGGGAAATGTTTTGTTCGGGATCGTTCCATCTTGGACGCACATAGCAGGTGACGAACAAACAAAAGTGCAAATAAGTATTGGATACCCCAATTGTGACTGAGATACAAAGTTTTGAAACTGCGTCACGTGGATCACGTGGACCAGGGTGAATGCGGCGTCTGGCTCAGTTCAGCTTCATTTGTGAGCAAAAGCCTGGTTTTAGTCGTGTAACCAACGAGGCTTCAAGATGGGTCAATAAATGTGGTCCCACATTTATTTTAATGGTCTTAAAGGCTGAAGAAATGTCAACTTAGTGACAACGGTAGAATCGCCACAAACAATTCAAGGTGTACGCGAAAGACGCTCATTCGCACACCAATTTGGCATTCATGAAGGACGAAACTGAATCTCAGCTGGATTTCTCCCTTATGATGCCCTTCAACTGAATGTGCTGCACAAAGGCCGTCTGATTTTTCAATTTGTGCGACGTCCGGGGTAACGCAGTGTTGCAACGTGGGTGGCCGTCTATAGGTTACGCCTGCGCTGAGCCCGCCAGACTGTGATAAGAAGAACGAAGAGAACCCTGGACACGGCTGTAGTGTTAGGACAAAACATACAGGGCTTCTGTGTAAATATATAGGATGACTAAATGGCCAAATATGGTCGTTCACTTGTTCGTTGTGTACAGCCAATGGCGGTGTTCCGGTCGTGAACAATTTCAGCCCCAATCCACTGGTCTTATGTTGCTAAGCCGTGTTTGGTGAGCTCCGCCAACGCACCTGCCTTCCGAACGTGTCGTACCGATGGTGACCTTGGGCAGGATGCGTCACTCTTCACATGTACTTTTTCCATGCCTGGGCGCGTCCTGACACGCAGTATAGTTTCTCGAGGAACCGCTGCTTCCGAAGTTATTCAAAACTCAGACAACCCATGAACGGTTTCGTCCTTCCTCCTCGAGCTCTTCAGGTAGCCGCAGTTTCCCTCAATCTTCTGTTCTACCTGAACTCAGATTGTACGAAATTCGCCAGATGCACTCACTTGCACACCAAATCATTTTTGCTGGGAGAGTCAACTGAAGAAGACCCCCAGGTTCAGTTGGATTCTTTAGAGTCTCCAGTCAAAACCAAATTGATGTCTAAATGAGTGCACCCCGCGAGTTTCGTACAATTCAGGTTCAAGTAGGACATAGGCTTTATTACAGAATGCCATAGAGTATAAGTTGTTAGCTGAATGCTCGTACGTGGGTATTGATGAGGACACGGGTCGCCGGGATTAACTGCCCGTCACCTTCACCCACGCTCCTGCGTTACTATGACCTGCATGGTGCAGCCGAATTGTGTGGCGTGCAATTGCCCTCACCTTGGCAGCTACTGAACACACAACTATTGATTTGGTGACAAAGGGGGCTACGTTTGGCTACTCGGACGGGGCCTGAAACTTTGTGTGTGAGAATGCTGAGAGAGTTCATCGTAGGCCGGAGATTTAGCTGGATTCAGTTGACCCTCCCATCAAAACCAAATTCGCAAGCAAATGAGAGTAGTTGGTGAATTTCATCAAATTGGGACTCAAATAGAATACAAATTTGACTGAAGAGAAACGCGAGGACTGTGCCTAGCTGATGAGCCCCAACATGAAGGGCGAAACCGGTCGTGGCCTGTCGAAGAGTTTTCAGCGACCTTGTGAGTAGTCTCATTGAAGTACGTCTACCTGCACGTTAAACCTCGTTGTTACTTGTACACAGCTGTAGTTGGCTAGTCTACGAAGAGTCACGTGCAATGAGTGGTTTATTCCTGGATGTACTTCTGAACACAGCACAACCATCAAAACAGCAAATGAACGAACTGCGGGGGAGAGGTGCATGTATCTCAGAACCAACCAGTAGTAAGTCAGACTTCTCTGTAGGCTAATTGGCCATATGGGTACCGCGCAACATAGTTTTTTAAACACATCTTAGAGGCGTTCAGCTACGCATCGTACGCTGAGAACTGGTACCTAAGTTCATTTTGGAAAAGTCCCGACTTTTTAGTAGTGTACGGACATTACTGTTCGCAGCCGTTGTAAATTCCGCACTCGTTGACCACATGTGCCTTACTAAGTGAAACAAACGGATGACAGTATCCTACGTCACCTTTGTATTACTAAGTGAAACAAACGGATGACAGTATCCTACGTTCACCGCTGTACGCAGTGGAATACTTTGGTCATTGTTCGGAAGATGCCGAACCGGAATGCTGTGGCTCAAGGTGAAGCTGACGATCCTTCATCGTCTCGTACCGTCGCATTACTGTATCATTATGTTTCCAGCCCTTCTAGGACATTATTAACCCATGTCTATGCGGCCACAGGTTTTACCTTGACCCCCTCGTAATGCTTATAAAGCTCCTAGTTGTCGATCAATAATCGGTCAGTCAGTCTCCTTTTTCCTATGATACTAAAGTATGCATTCGTCGCCAGTTTTCATTCCCGAGTCTCTATTATTCTTGCTCATAAGTGACTCAACGAAGAATTTTCGTTACATGGTTGTGGGCGATGTGATACTGGCGGCAGAGTGGGATTCCACTCACGTGATTACTTGGATGAAGGCTTGGAGATGCCCGTCGGGACGTACTCGGGAGCCAGCATCTCACCCTAGTCTACTTAATGGACCCAGGAAAAAGTCTGACGCCATGTGACCAGTGCGGCTTTGTGGCAGCTGAGTAGTGCAGTGGCATCTAGCCGGCCAGGATTTCTGTTGTCCCCCACAAGTCCTTGGTCAGACCATTTCTGAAGTAATGTATGCAAGCCTACCACCCGTATCTGTTCCGAGACGCCGAAGATTTGGAGCAGATTCATCGGAGGTTCACTCGTTGACCCACACTTTGGACACGGAGAATGGCTTCAGGAAGCTAGGTCCTCCCAAATGGGGAAAACGGTGGATGTACACGGAGAATGGCTTCAGGAAGCTAGGTCTTCTCTCATTGGGAAAACGGCAGATGGGATTCGTTCCATAGAGGTCTAGGCCTTGACCAGACCATCCACGGTTGAAAGAGACGTTTCGGAACCAATCTGATAACAAAGAAAATTGAGGCTTGCACGAAAGGACTTTCTTCACCTTACGTGACTAACTGGTAGAATAGCCTTTCCATGGAAAATGCTGTGATCACACACATTGCTCGGTCTGGGCGCAATCCTAATGGTGTCTTGGAAGCTGCCCCGAAGATCGGTAGATCACTCTGGGTAGCCCAGTTCGATCCTCAGGTCTTTCTTCCCATTTCAGTTAATGATTTTGATAAATATGTACTTGATCTGCTTTTGGCAATATCTCCCTTGCATGACTCCTGTCTTCCCTTACATCATTATCATCGACAACATGATATCAGTGTTCAACACCGATGCTTCATTGCCGTACAACCATGATTTATTTGAAAGCCGTATTGTAAAGAAAAGAGTAAAGCTGGACGGGGAAGGGACTTAGTGCCAGCTTGCCACAATCATTTCGAGGTGCCTCCAGACATTCACTCAGGCGATCTGGAAAGAAACTGACAACAAGAACGCATCCAAACCGAAGCTGGTCAGCTTAATTTTTGTCTAGAACAGTTATCCTGTGATCCTTTCTGGCTGTTGTTACCTTTCTCACCCAGGCCATCAACTCCCGTTATCGCAACATCTTGGGACCTTCAGAACCCCACAACCCAATAGTTTGCACGAATCTGGGCCAATGTTCTCAACTGGAGTTCCATTAAGCTGACTGGCTCCGATTTGAACAAGATGTCGTTAGTCTCCCCTTCCACTCACGCAATTTGAAACCGGTCGATTACGAAACGTACTGCGTACGGTGCGCATGAACGACTCACTGAGTGGCCCAAAGGCGGTGTGGGAAGAAAAGTACGTTTCCTCCATCAAAGGATATTCAACTGATCAAGGTCACCGGCTGAGAAGCGGACTATCGTGACAGAAAAATCAACGTGGTCTTATGCAGTTAAACCGCACAACCACTTCGTCGTGATCATACAGGAAAGACTTGCGGGCTGACTGCCCAAGTTCGATTTTGGTCACGTGCCATGTGGTGTTCAAATTGTTGTGTCGATAAAACAAACCACATGACGTAGAAAGATGGAGGAAGAAAAAGAGGTCAAAGAAGATGTAGTAAAGAATGCGTTCACATACCCTCTGGTTCGGGTAGGTTCCTCGTTTTCCCTAGCGGTAATCAAACTTGTTGCTTTGGCTTATTTCATTGTAGATAGCAGGCAGGTAGTGAGTGTGATTAATATGGGGGATAATATTGACGTAATACACTACTTATAAAGTTTCCGAAACCTCTTGGACAGCCCACGGCCGGTTTCGCCCTTCTTGGGGCTTATCCGGCCGGGGTACTTATTGATTATTGGATTGATCAGGGTTTTGAGACACTCGGGCTGGTGTCCGTAAAGTTTCTTTGGGTTTTCGCCGTACCAGCAATTCGCAATGCACTTTTGTGGCTTGAGTCATTCTGAGGACCGTCTGTAGTAGGGGTTCCCCACCTGAGAAGTATCTACTCAACGCGCTAGTACCATGCCGGGCATTAACGCCGGATCGCGCAGGTTATTTCCTGACTGAATTGGGTATTCCCAACGACCATATCCTCCTGAATTCAACTCTTAGTCATCGTCAACTCAAAGACCTCATAAAACCAAAGTTCCTGTCCTCCATAATAGCCTCAGTGTTTGTATTTTATCTAAAAGAAAGTGAACAACGTATTCGTTGTTGCTCGTTGCTGGACTGCTTCGCTGCCAGCACCTTAGTTCCGAAATATCTACCAGTTTCACTATCCTTTACAACACTGTCTACTCTTTTTGAGCCCGTGGCACGGCGTGGGTGTGATTTTCAGTGAGCTGTTTTGCTTACGATGCCCGATAGTTGTGAATGCACCAATCATTGCCGAAACCAACATTTGACCTTGAACATCATTCTAGCGTGTGACCCTTACCACGAGCCCAAAGACGATCGCTATTATCCTCGTCAATAAACAGTTCATGATGCGTTGACAGCATTCCTAAACAACCTTCTCGAAATAACGAAACATCTTTGACGCGGTAAGTATTGACATACTGAGCTGTGTTCTGTAGGTTCAATATGGTAGCACCCACGTCAATCTTATGGGGACCGGGTATCGAACGATCAATAACCAGCCGACCAATCAAAATTCTCACTGGTCAGCCGGTTTACGACAACAAAATCTGCCACACAGACAGGTTTCAGGCTCTTGGTTTTAACTGCTTACGTAATTCGTGGTGATTTACCGGTTCAAAATAATAATTTACGGTGTGAAATTTTGCGAATGCTTCCACTGTCTTCAAAGTGAATAAAAGATGCACAATGTCGTCGGTAATCGTGGTATAATCCAAGGTGATATCACCTGGATTACTGTTGGCTTCCAAATGGGAGATGTGTATACATTTCGGTCAAGGGACTGGTCTATTTAACGCGAAACCTACCTTGGTAAACGTGATTATCGGGAGTGACAAAAACGGAGCAACAAAAACGTAACAAAAGGTGAGCGGGGGAATTCCCCTCGGTTGACAACCACTGCCCTAATACCTCAACAGAAAGTGGGGATCTTCATAGGCTCTGAAGGGATTTCTCGTGTATGTATGCGTCGAAATGTGTTTTTGTGAAGTACCAATCGGAAGGTATTACAGACAATTCCTGTGAGTAGGTGGAAAACTCAGTATCTTATCAGACTTGGGCGTACTAGAAGTTGACAATGTTTGTACTCGGCAAAACCAAACCAAACGCCATAACCTGAAGTTTATTGAATTGCCACGGATTTCTTGCGAAAACATGTTCGTCAACCCATATTCACTCTAAAGTGGAATTTTTCGGAGTTGGTATGAGCACCCACAAAGCGAAGATCAGGCAGTTTGGACGATTCCAAGTGTTCTGCAAAAACAGTTTGACCTTAGATGCCGCTAAAAGCGATCCTTCACCAGCCAAGATTTCGTAGCCTTTCAATCTGTTGTTAAGATAGAAAAATTGCCAAAATATTTATGAACAGGCTAGTTGTCATGATGAAAAAGAACACCGTTCCACAACTTTCCTACTCATGCTTCTTTCAGTGGCTCCTTCAATTGATCCAATAAGGCGCACCAACAGGTTGACCGTTTGGAAGATGGTCGGTTATTGCAGCATCTGCCTTGATTTTGGGAAGCCTGAGTGTATCTATTGCACTAATTCCTGTTCAGTTTCACTGATTTAGTAGTGTAACCGTATTTCATCATCGCTACACAATCGTTGAAAGTTCGACTTAGACATGTCCACTCCATCTCTTTCCTCGTCAGTATTCAAACCCATTTGGTTCACATGTCTAGTTACTCGTGAGTATGAGCCCATCACGTGCTCTAGAGATATCAAGTTCTTCTGCAAGGAGTTCTCGCTGATATTCGACGATCTGCCATAAGTTGGCCATGAACCTAGTAAACCATTTTCGAACTTGACATCGTCCGAGGTTCCCCTTACAGTACTGTATTTTCTTCGAACAGAATTCTCCCCGCTGGAAGTAAGTACACCACTTTTCTACAGCTGAGTATGAAGGACACTTCACCCGACATCATCATCATCTTCATGAGTGTCACCTGTAAGAACCACGTATTTGTCGTACAGTGGTTTTAGATGCTGCAGTTTCGGTCATCAATGATTTGGTGATTTCTGGGCTGTCTGTTGTCGGTTTGTTCTGCAGCAGCGGGGATTTTGGGACTGCTTGGAGTTCCACGCACGAAGGTTCCACACATTTTGTTGACATGAATAACCTTGCGACGGGAAACCGAGTGAAAGCATAGTGTTAGGGCTTTGCAGTTCGGGATCTGAAGTTATAATGAACAGTTGCCAACTTATTTTCAGATTTCAACAGTTGAATGTGTTTTCGTGCCTCATCGTGCTACTGCTGATGTTCTATGCTGCCAGTACTTTAAACCGCGCTTCATTCCAACCCCGCCATTTATTCTGTGCCCAACAGTATAGCGAGATGAACGAAGAACTCCAAGCCGAAGTGGTCGAACTGTGCGTTACTGCTTGTGAAAAGTGGCACAGCGACAATGAGGTGAGTCAGATTGCTATCGGTCGCCTGAACTTTGACGTTTGGTGAACTGTTTCAACGGCACAGTGTAGATCGCAGCCGAAAAGGTGTCACGTGAACACATGAACTCTACCGTTTAAATTAGTAGCATTCAAAGCGTACCAACTCTGAGATCACAAACCCAGCAGCTGCAGGGGATCAGTTTGATTGATGACTGATCGATACTGTAGTCTCATGAACACAGAGAGTGAACTATGATGACTGCGTGAACATTAATCAAATAAACTCGAGTGGATTAATCGATGCTCATCGGAAATCAATAAGTGAGCTACGGTGCGCGCATATGCCTCAAGATTCGGCTTACTGAGAAATCGTAAGCGTAGGATGTGAGGTCACACACGACGTGATAAAAATCTGAAGCCTTTCAATCTGAGAGGACCTGTGCTTCATTAAATCAAGATTTCTAGAAGATCACTTCGTATTTCAAGCTTTACCTCTGGTGATCGCCATGCACAGAAAAATTCCAGAGTGATTGCACTGCAAACTTCCCAAATTACTGGGTGATTTTGATGCGCGCATTGAGACGACTGCTCATGCTTTCTGGGGCCAATAGTTAGCAAAGTGATTCAAATGGAGGGAAGTTTGTAAATTTGGTTGTGACGCCGGATTGCGTATTTGTTGTGTTGAAGGACTTCATCGCTATTTGGTGGAATCACCCCAGCAAGCAGTCAAGAGGACCTTAAACGATATTCTCGAAGTACATATGAAAAAGCGGAAAGACTATCTGTTGTGGACCACAGTCCTTATTACCGTGAACCTCGGTCTGGATAACCGCCTGATCGCCTGGTGCGCTTGACCAGACCAGCAAAAGTCAAGGAACGTGCTAAGCGGCTGCTCTACTGATCACTGTCGCGTACAAGGGGGTCAAAAAAGTGATACTAAAAATACAACTAATCTGTCAAGGGCGAGTGAAGAACAACCAATGAAATCTCACTCAACGAAAAACGGTTATTCTATTGGCTGCTATGTAGTCCCGTTACGTTCGGAGCTGGTTCTCCCAAAACTAACTTTCGTGTCGCCGTCTGCTCTCTTTAAAATGGAAAGTGAGAAGCCTAAACCATTCCCAAAACATGAACTCGTTGGTCCAATGGAAAAGGCGGTCAGAAAGTGGTCACAGAAAAAAGTGAAGAGATGAGCTATGTGTGTTATTCGACGCAAAAGTGACTGAATTACCCTTTAGTGCAAGCCCTCACTTAAAAGTATGATTAATTTTTTAAATTAATTGTTCAGCTGCAGCACCTTTTTGCGCTTAGCTGCCATGCCAACGGAAGGAGGCACGAGGGTTGGGGAACTGTCAAAGCCTAGACCGAAGCAATCGAAATGGTGAGGTTAGGTTAGAACCACGAACTTTCCGGTCTGTAAGCTAGCGCCTTAAACACTGAGCTATCTCGAGCTAAAACCCACACCTACAGTTGTGTCGAGAGTTTCTATACTCAATGTAGGGACGGACGGAACATTGCTCACCATTTTTCGCACCGGTGTCTGTGGACCGCACACTGATTGTTCTATATCTAACCCTTGTATTCGTTCGCGCATAGCCTGAAAGCGTCACTCACAGAACCATTCACGCTGCATACATGCCCACACACAGATACGCGGTCGAATCATCTGGCGAGCATGACACACTTAATTCCAGAGTCGCATTGATCTTGCGCTCCGCAGACGACTGATTTCGTCCTTCGTGCAGTGCGTCAGATAGACGCCGTCCCCGAGTTTTCGTCAACCATATGTTCTAGCTGAACCTTCAGGCTCTCCTGCAAACAGTCTGTTAGAAGCTGGACACGTGACAGGCTCCTGTCGAATTGTGGCTCGCTACCTGCGATTCGGCGAAAGAGAGTTGTTCCAAACGAATAATCCCTCAGATTCCGTCGAGAAGTGCCCAGAATGTAAGGATGAGACATATGCGGCCTCTGTTCATGGTGTTTTGCGCCAGCAGGCCAACTTGAAACGCCTACATGACCTTATACGAAGCACAGGTAACAGGTTCCAATTTGGTGCCGATTGTCATTCAGTGTGATACTGTTAGGGGTTTTGCTACACAAGGTCGAGAGTAAATCATCAGCTGTAAAAACCACATACCTGTCATACGATGGTGCCACAATCTAGGGAGGTGGGGTAGGTAGTTGTGCATTGGAGGCGGGAGCTGATAAATTGATGCGTAAATACAGGACGGTCGGTGGACTGTTAAGTGGGGGAATCGGGAAGGGAGTTATACATTGAAGACAATAGCTTGGATGCACGAGCGTCATTCAGGGGGCAACTAGGCCATGCCTGATAATGTGGCCCGTCCCTGGGTTTCCGTCCAGTAAGATGGCAATGACCAGCTCAGCTAAGTTTGCTGGTAACGGCTTTTATACTTCGCTTCCAAGTCATTGTTTGACCGCCTCTGGCTCGTTTCCATCTTTCACGTGGTTGTGCGAAAAGAACCCTTCGAGGAAGTCGGTCGACTGGGATACGCAGCACGTGGCCAAGCCAGGGCAACCTAAAATGATCAGTTCAAAGATCAATCCATTACAAACGTACAATAGCTGAACCATTCTGTTGACCTTGTAATCACTTTGATGGTTGTTAGGTACAGAAATGGTGGATTGACCCCTTGGATTACTTAAGTCATCAAGCCATTGTCAGTAACTGCGTTGTAACCATGCTAACTAGTCAAGGTGAAGCTCTAAAATGCGGAGAATGACAAAAAGGTGAAGGGCCTATTGTTACCCCACCAGTGTATTCAGCTCATTACTGCAACTTGCTTAAGAAAGATTCATGTGAGTGGTTTCCTTTATGAAATGATAATGCGACATCTCGAATATCGTGTCAACTGACTCATAAGACGGCCTGTGTGCAGCACATTCAGTTGTAGAATATCATAAGCGGGGGATTCCGTTGAGTCTCTCGTGAAAACCAAATTGATTTGCAAATGAGTGTATTTCTCGAAAACAGTCCAATTCGGGTTCAAGTAGAACATAAGGTTAACGGAAACTCAGGGACTGCGCCTACCTGATAAACAGGCCCCAAGAAGAGTTTTCAGCAACTTTGTGAGTAGTTTCCTTTATAAAAAGATTCATGCTCTTTAAACTAACAATTGCCAGATGAGAGGTCTTGTGACCAATTCCATCTTAATGAAGGCAAAAGGTCTCTTGTGGCTGAGGCTTTAGGGATCCATCCGGTTAAATCATTCACTTTGCAGCTTTGGTCCCCTCTGTTAGGAGAGTTGGTTTTGACGTCATCAGGAAGTCATAGGATGACCTTTCATCTGAAATCAATGTTGGCAGTCGAAAAGGTTAGCAAACACGGTTTATGACACAACCTGCCAGTAGTCAATGGCCACAAGTTATCAAATCTGGCTGCGGAAAACTTTGCCATTGTACAGTCTGCAGGATTCGAACCTGATGAATCTACCTGTGGTCAAAAGTCATACACACAACAAGAGCATTTTGTACGTAGCTTACTCAATTCAGCGATCTCTATATTGACAGAAACCTGTTTTTTATCTTCTTGTTTTCTTTTCACACAGATGGCAGCAAGAATGATCAAAGAAGCTCTTGATCAGAAAGCATCGTCCGGATGGCACGTTGTGATTGGAGAAGGTTATGGCTTCGAGGTCACACACGACGTACGAAGTCTGCTGTTCATGTACTTCAATGGATCACTGGCAATTCTGATTTGGAAGTGTTCCTAATGGTGTCGAGGCGTAAAAATACAACTTGATCGATGTAAGAAACGACTAAAAATCACACTACTTGGATGGTCAGAGTAACTATAAATCGTTAGCAATTGAATGCGAAACGAATGGAGTGACCAGAACAAACTCAGCGTACTCGTGAAAGAGGTCTCTCTATGCGGGTGGGCAACTGCCACCTCCCTGAATTGGGACCCCGCGAGTCAAATCACCAGTGGTTAATGACATTGGAAGAAATGGCCCAATCACGCAGGGGAATTGGCGCTCGTGCATCAAATCCATCGCCTTCAATGCGTAGTTCACCAACAAACGAAACATGCCTTCACCTCCAAGGCTTGGTTGCATGTTCCACTTTTCCGTTTCCCGGTGATCAAAATTGCAGCACCTGTGCCTCTGGTACACGGTTTATAGGTGATAAATTGAAGTGACTGACTGAACTGTGTTGTGGTACAATCACGTCTAAGTACCATGGCGTGGAATCACATATTGACTTGGTCGGAAAAATCTGTGATTTAGGGTCGCAATATCACAAAAAATCAATAAAATAATAAATTAAACTAGAAGACCAGGTTCAAATCCTTACGGAAACATGGGCCCCCACACTACCTGGGGTAGCCACGCCTTTTTGGAGCGAAAAGTAGATCAACCGGAATGAAGCGACCCCGATAAAACTTTGTCCTGTGGCACATGGCTGTGGCACATGGTTTTACAACAAAAATGTGTGGCCTGGTATATTGGTTGGCCACCTTGAAAGCTGGGATGATTTGGAAGCAATTTTGGCCCAATTAATTTGCGAACTATAGTAGATATTTTGTGTAAATAACCACTAAATGGGGAAGAATAGATGTAGCCCGTCTTGGGGTACCCATCCAGGGAGACCAGCGCAGCGGAAGTTGACATTCAAACTTCACTGTCAAATCATCGTTTGCTATCCGCTGGCATGTGTCCACCTTTCGCATGATTCTTCGAGGAACTCGGTCGACTGGCATACGTGGCCGAGCCAGCGCAACCTATGCAGTACGATCAGTTCGTCTATCGAGGGTGAGTTATTTCCCCCCCGAATACCATTCGACGTACTTCAGCATTGCTCGAAAATTCGCCCCAACTTGTTGCCGACCGGAACGTGAAATAACCGAAAATTGATGGTTCTCAATCGGGAAAAAATTTAAGACTAATATGTCGCGCGATATCTGGGGGCGAACCGCCCGGAATGCTATTTTGCGAATAGGAAGAAAGCTGGCATCCTGATTGGTCAGGATACGGGCCATTCGGGATCACGCCCTCTTAGACCGGACTCATCGATTTGGCCATGAATGTCTTAAAGTGAACGGATGGATGAACGCAATTTCTTTTGTAATTGCTCTTCTGATAGCATCACTATGTCCCATTACAGGCTTTCTCAACCTGCCATGTACATTAGTGCGGTTCAATGTGGCTTGATGCCTGGGCAATAAAGGTGAACCGAATCAGCCAATCAGGTGCTGTGTGACGCAATAAACGGTATAAAGCGGTCAAGCCAAAACGGACAGTAGTTTTGCGGAAGAACCCCTCAGAGTCACTGCAGTAAAAAAACTGGTGTGGTGGTGAAACACTTTCCGAGTAGGTTTAACCTCATGGGCTAAAATGCAGGCGCAGCCAAGGATTTGCGTTGCTGAATGCAAAACTCGCGTACAGTTTGGTGTAAACGAACTCGGAATAACTGCGAAATCTTACTGACAGGAAGGTTCATGGTTCGAACCCAACCTCCGCATCTTGAAAACTCCTGTTCACTCTTGAGCAACTTGGTGGTAGCTCCACTTTCTTCGAGTGGCACGGTAGCCAAGCAGTGAAACAGTATTGCATCTAAATGAATAATTTGTTTGAAGTTCAGATGATCTACGGTGAGCAAACTCCACAAGAAGAAATGTTATTAGTGCCGCAAAACTATTCATCATAATTTGGATATAAGCCTAGAAGAAAAGGAGTCACAAAATGAGGGCTAAAAATGTCCGAAAGTAATGAACTTTCCACTCGGGATCTTGCGTCTTACCACATTTCACAATGGTTGCTAGGCTGTTTGGCGAGGCACGCCAGTGATAGGTTTTGTATCACCTATTCACTTCGACGACCTTCAAGAAATATACTCAGGCGTTCACAGCTTACTGACTGATTTATTGCACCGTTTGAACTACGCTTGTGTTTGATTAATAAGTAGGTTGATAACCAGAGGCAAAATACTACTCATATGGTTGCTGAAAACCGTTCGACATTTCACGACCGGTTCCGCCCCCATACTAGTGCTCAAAAGAAAGAATCTGGTGAGATCGAAAGCCAGTCTTGCTTACGTATGCCGAACCATCGTTTGCCGAAGAGAGTGCTGTTTTCCGTGCCCAATTCAGAGTGATGTAAACAAAGAGGTGACCAACCCTTGACTTGGCAGAGGAGTATGAAGAAGATCACGAAACGCTTGGGTGTTGTCGGTGCTACTCGCCCTCCAGGTTGGAGACCGCGTGATCCTCACTGTGTCTGGTTGGAGACACTACAAGATATGGCTGCAAAAGCCGCCAGGCGCAAACGTCGCGAAGAAAGTTCTTCCAGTCAACAGCGGTCGTGTGGCTAACAGATAATTCCTTTGGGCGGAATTTGATTTTCACCAGCAATAAATGAATAGAATTACTGTCCTAAACTCCATCCTAGACCGCTCCAGTCAAGTTCCCTTTCGAAGACCGATTTCTTACCGACACTGTCGGGCATTACACCTCCACCTTTCAGAAACAGTAGAAAGTGTCATTTGGTGGCCATTGTCGCATAAACGTTGCTGATGGAGCACTCCGTGGCTTTGGAAAAAAGCTATTGCCGTCTCCTTGGCATGAACAAGGAGTTGAAAGCGTCAGAAAGTCCATTTGCGGTTTTACGTCCAAGCGGAGAAAATTTTTGCACGAAGTGAGCCTAGATGCGGATAAGGAATTGTTTTCAAAAATAGGTCAAGGTTGTGTGCGTACATTAAATTGGAGCTGGCAAAAAGTGGGGCGGGTTTAATTCTTCGCCCATGCACTTTTTGCATTAGTGGTAGGGCTTATCTGGAGAAGATCCCAACGGTTTCACCCGGAAAATTCCAAAAACTGGTGGTTTTACCAAATTTAAAAATGAGTTTTCAGCAGAAATGTCTTGGATTTTTAATACTTTATACGATAAACCTAGTGCAAACATTTATTTAAAATGCTGTATGATCATTACCAACGTGCCAAGAATGTTTCCACAATTGACCGTGTGGCGAAGCTTATCTGGAAAAGATCACGAAAATTTGACGAAAATAGTAGGGGTAGAGCACCAAGGTTACCAAGAAGCACATTACTAGCCTCTTCTGTCCTGCTAACGAAAAGCATTTGAGATGAGTGTCCTAATCAACAGGTTTGCGCATCTTTGATGAACAGCCCCGATTTACTATAGCCGTTATTAATTTATTCGTTCCTACCCCCAAATTCAGCGGTCTTCTCCCGATCGAAGTAGGAACCTCTCGTTTAACTACAAGTTGCCGGATAGCTGAGCTACCCAGCTATAAGTAGTGTGCCCCGAAATGGTCCACGATCTGAGTATGGACAGATTAGCATTGCATCGTGATCATGTATGGATTCGATTTTAAATTCATCGTTTCTTCGTTACACTCTTCGTCTGAACAAGACCAGCTGCAGTGCTCTGCGAAAGAAAGATATCTCGGCCTTTAGACTACCCTAGTTACTGAGCGATATCCGATAAGTTGCTTAGAGTGACAAAGGGTGTAGACGGGCGATCGTACTTGCCCTGAGACGTTCAAACTTTACGCCAGATGTCCTTCAAACGCATACGTAGATGCGAAACCTCGGTGTGAAACTTCAAGCGGCTCAAATAATCCTCTTCCCTGAAAGAAGGGTGTGAAAGGGTTTACACAGAGTCTGGTTGTTGCTGGTGGTGACTACCACCCCATGCAATTGGTTGAGGAAAATTCAATAAATTTTTGGGCTTATCGATGTCAACGTCGTCCGCGCTGCCCGTTTCATTTCAGATAGTTTGATTCAGCACTCGTCCGTGTGAACACCTCAGGGTAATTGCGATAGGTCACCACAAGGGCAGATGATGATGATTATGATGATGACGATGATGATGATGATGATGATGATGATGATGATGATGATGATGGTGATGATAATGATGATGATGGTGATGATGAGTCAAAGGTTGGCCATCTGTCTGTTTACGCCACTCTGAATTGGGCACGAAAAACAGCACTCTCTTCGGCAAACGATGGCTAGGCATGCGCAACACATGTAGTGGCAGCTGTTTGTTGGAGTTCAGCTGCCAACAGTAAAGAACAATCGTGGATGATTCGATTCCTAGTACGTCGACTCAAAGTCAGAGAAAGTGAAACAAGCACTTTCGAAATTATTGAACCCTAGGTTCTCCACTGGCAAATACATTGCGTTCAGTTAATCCCTCGTGAGAAACTCACGTTGCAAGATTGAAACAGAACTGAATAGACCAAACCGAGCCAGAAGGTAGTATTTTCTGGCCGCTAATCTCATTGGGACTAGGGATCTTTTAGCTTGGGAAGAGAAATATTGCTGAACTTAGAAATGGGTTTTCCACGTCCCAACCCTAATGGCAAAGAATGATGTAAGCTATGGGTGTAGGTGACACGTGACTCCATCAAGACGTACTTTTATGGCATATATTCAGAGGTATCGCGAAGGTAAGGCACAGTTACTTAATACTTCAAAGTAACAATAGCGATTGGTTTAGTACACAACTTCTATAAAGAGCATCTGATTAGCACCAGTTTGTCTCGAAAATTTTGGCCAGACAAGATCGTTTCAGACACGGGTCTTGGATGGCCCACTTGCACCACCAGTTGAACACACTTCCCATTTCGTGATTCAGCTTCATCGCGCACTTCAGCCATATTTTCTCAGTTTTCGGCATCGAACCACAGTGTGTCCGGATGTGCCAAGGTGCAGATCAGATTAAAACCATTTGCGGTTCTGTACAAAGATTTGTCGATATTACTCGCTCCATACATCTCTTTGCTGTTCGATTTCCCGATCACTTCTGTCGATAGTTACCTCCGCACACCTGCTCATTTTTCCGGCATACTACTCGATCAGATAAAGTAGTATAGTGCTTGATCGAAAATGCTACGAGAACGGGGGACATATTTGTCAAAAACAGTACCCGGCAGTCTGATCCACATGAAACCAAATTGGACAGAGTTTGACGGATACTTTTATTTGCACACGAATTCTGGTTTAACACAAGATTTAACTGAAAAGAACAATCACCAACAACAAATTCAGCTGGATTCGTACAGCAGATAAAACCCGATTGGCGTAGAAATAGGCGTATTTAGAGTACGTAGTGTTTAGCTTGCCTTATCTGTGTCATTCTGTATTCACGGTGTTTTCGGTGATATACTGATGGTTTACGCGTCGATAGGACACGCGAATGTATGCACGGCGGTGAAAAACGCTGTTTTTGCCTTCCTGCAACTTTCTCGCACTGAGCTATCACTGCTAAGATGGGTAGGAAACCATTCTGACATTCACGTGTCGTATCGTTTTCCCACTAGTAGGAGAACCAGCTCCGAACGTAACGGGACTACGTAACAGCCAATGGAATAACCGTTTTTCGTTACCGATTTCATTGGTTGTTCTTCACTCTCCCTTGACAGATGAGTTGTATTCTAAGTATCACTTTTTTTGACCCGCTTTTACGCGACAGTGATCAATGGATCAGCCGATTAGCACGTTCCTTGACTTTTGCTGGTCTGGTCAAGCGCACCAGGCTATCGATCGGCTATCCAGATCGGAGTTCACTGTATACAGAAGGCATTAAGGGGACTGTGGTCCACAACACCCACGATGTTTTCAGTTCCTCATGGGAATTCACAAATGTTTCACTGTCGACCGGAACTTACTCAGATCTGCTTCCAGACTCTAGACAAATTTGGAAACCCACCATAACCACGAGATTCGTGAGATATCGGGTTGAGCAGTTTTATTTTTCGAGTAGCACTTCAATTTGACGGAAACTCGGGGATTTCACCTACTTGATGCTTCCCAAGAAGGGTGAAACCGGCAGTAGATTGTCGAAGAGTTTTCACCAACCTCATAAGTAGTGTATTACGTCTATACAATGTGTTCATATATCTCGAATATTATTCCAACACAAACCTTTGATCCGTTCGAACACAAGGACTTTGTAACCTTTCCAAAAAAGTTGAAAAAAGCCTTCCGTGTGTTTTAAACACTTTAGAAACTGAGGAGCTATCTATCTGAAAGAACTGGTTCATGACCAAACGAAGAACGACCATCGACAAATCGGACCAAAAAGTCCATAGCATATTCGGCGGTGCGTGCGTTGGTGTGCTTCGGCGCTTTTTTCCTTTCTCGCTTGTCTAAACAAAACACAACTATAGGTGAAAGTATAGTGTTTCAGGGGACCACCTAAGATTATTTGCTAGATTCATAGTCTTTAAGTCCGCGTCATCCTCGTTCGTAAAGTTCGAATTCTTTTGCAGCGTGATTTTTCAAATGGGTCCATAAGGAACTCGAGTTTCAACTTCATACGAATTTTGGCGTACAGAGCTTCAAATTTCGGACTTTGATGAACAAATCCAAGAGAGTTACTCGTTCGTCACTCAATGCTTTTGGCAAACAAATCACATCGGACAAAGGACGAACCTCTTCAGAAAACCTAACGTGCTTTCTGTCTGTGCACGCTGATCAAGTAGAACTTACAAGGTCACCTCATGTGTCCAGTCCAGCTCCATTCATATCCCCGATGGGTACAAAGATGTGAACCGCTTATGGAAATTCTGATTTTGGTGCGAGCTACTGAGAAAAGGTACGGCATTGTCCAAATAGGGATGCTGTAGACAGAACTTCCGGAAATGACCTGAATGCTAGTGAGGACATCTTTCAGGTTCCTACTGGTAATCGCAGCCACACATAGTTTGATGCTCGCTGTCTGTTCTTCTACGCCAGGTAGGCAACCGAAAGAGAGCAAAGTACCCCGTGCATTAGAGCTCCGTTTACCGTGATGTGTAAAAGATCTCCTTTTCATTGTCCGCGAAGACTGACGATCATATCAAATGTGTAGATTAGTGACTCAACGGACACTTCTAGATAAAAGATACGCGCATGCCGTTCACCACTGGTACCTACAGGATTGCAAATTCCCCCAGACTTTCAACAAACACCTAATCATTGGACAAGTACTCTCATGTATGCACAAATTTGGTTTTTCTACGAGACTCTTGTTTATGATGACCCGTTTCATCTGAATATGCTGCATCCGGAAGCCTCACATTTCAGTTGGTGCGATGTGCAAGATATGGTAATACTTTGTTGTCTAGACGTAATGCACTACTCATAACGCTACTCGTTTTCGGCACTGAAGG